AGCTGAAAACAAAAGTATGGAACTCCATCTTGGTCTCCTAATAGGGTGGCAAGGACCAAGGGACTCACAGGATGCATTAGCAGGAAGCTGAATTGGAATCAGAGAAGCTAGGACTCAAACCAGTAGTCCAGTATGGGGTATGGGCATCTCAAGCTACAGTTCAACCCAACTGCTGCATCACAACATCCTCTTGGGTTCAGATTTTTTATGTGCTATTTTTCATATAATAAAATCTCCTATAAGACAGAAGACACAAATATATTAACACCTACAAAAATAGGTCACTGTTGTTTAGCTGTCAGGTCCAGATTCATACCATTGGATTTCAAATACATACTTCAAAATAGTTAGTAGAGAGAAGTTTCAAAAGTTCCTACCACAGGGAAATGATAATGTTTTGGGGGATGAATATGCCATACTACAGTGCCTGGTTTGAGTCCCAAGTCCACTTCAGACCCATTTTTTTTTTTTTTTTGCTAATGCATAAATAGGGAGGTAGCAGATGATGACTTAGGTACTTGGGTTCTTGCTACATAAGTGGGAGACCAGGACTGGGATTGAATTCTGGGCTCCTGGATTTGCCCCAGCCCAGTCTTGGCTTTTGCAGGCATTTGGAAAGTGGATCAGCAGATAGATGATCTCGCTCTCTCCTTCCTTCTGTATGGACATGTATAAGTGTATGTCTCTCTGCCTTTCAAATAAAAAAATTCTGGTACATTCTTTAGAACACAGAATCTTAGATTATTGTATATTAGTAGTACATGATAAAGGTCAAACATCTTTCTAATTTACATATTATTTCTAAGACATTCTAAGTGAATTTAATTGACATTGGTCATTGACATTTTTGATGGATTACTTTTGCACACTTTCTATCCAAAGATAACCTGGGGTAGATGTCCGACATACTGCTGAAGACTTCACTTAGGATGCCCCCATTCCATGCTGAATGCCTCGGCCTGAGACAAGGCTTCACTTTTTGTTTTTTTAAAGAGTTATTTATTTATTTGAAAGTCAGAGTTCCACAGAGAGAGGAGAGGCAGAGAGAGAGAGAGAGAGAGAGGCAGAGAGAGAGAGAGAGAGAGAGAGAGAGAGAGAGAAAGGTTTTCTATCTGCTGGTTCACTCCCAAATTGGCCACAATGGCCGAAGCTTAGCCGATCCGAAGCCAGGAGCCAGGAGCTTCTTCTGGGTCTCCTACAGGAGTGCAGGGGCCCAAGGACTTGGGCCATCTTCTACTACTTTCCCAGGCCATAGCAGAGAGCTGGATCAGAAGTGGAGCAGCCAGGACTCGAACCGGAGGCCTTATGGGATGCTGGCACTGCAGACAGCAGCTTTACGTGCTACGCCACAGTACCGGACCCCAGGGCATCACTTTTAATTCCAGTTTCAGACCCTTGCTGATGTGAACTTGTGGAGAACAGCTCAAGTACTTGGGTCCCTGTCACCCATGTGGGAAATCCAGATTGGGCTCTGAGCTCTTGGTTTCAACCTGGTCAAGACCCAGCTGTTGTGAGTATTTTGGAAATGAATTATCAGATTAGAGAAATCTGTCCACTTCTCTGCCTTTCAATTAATAAATAAAAATTTTAAACAATAATATAAATTAATTCCAATATCCTGGTAGAGCTATATCTTATTTTTTTTACATAATTCTCTTGAAGAATTAGAGGTGATTATATACTGCAAACAATTTCAGAGATTTTGTCCACTTGTTAGTTTGACATGGAAAAAAAAAAACATCTTCTGAGGGATTGGTAATTATATGAATCAAATTAATTCATATAATTGGAAAAGAGTATAAAACTCAATGTAAAGTATTTTAAGATAACTTTTGTTAAGATTAAAATTCTACAAGACACAGTATCAGTCTATAGAACCTGAAAATGAAACAGAAATAAGGGTAAGTTTATCTATGGTGAAAATAACTGAAAAGTCAAGCTTTGTTGCTATTCAGTACTGAGGAGGACCTAAGGCTAATCCAACCCCTGACTATTTCTTATTTAACTGAGGATTTTTTTGGTAGCAATGAATTAGTAGATGAATCTAGGCTAAGACAAAAAGTATATGTGTTTTTAAGGCAAGAAAAATCTTGGAAGAAACAGTAGTTTAAGCTTATCTCAAGTTAACTGCCCATCTTTGATGCAAACATAATTTTAAAAAGTTTCATTTTTAAAGTGAGACAGTATTTTAGGAATCTAATATGTAAATTAAAGCTTTGGGGGTACATTCAAGATTTTCAAAAATAGGACATAACTTAGCTGGATATTTTAAATATATTTAAAATACCTACAAACTTCAGTTGAGTCTCCTGTGAATGAGAAAAACGTGGGAATAGTTTAAATCTTTTCTGTGAAGATACGCAATGGCAGAAGTTACTAGTTATAGAGTCATTTTCATATAACCTTGTATGCATTTCAGATTTAATGTACATGGAAAATATTTCAAAATTGTTATGTTTCATATTATTTTAATTCAAAAATCAAAAGAACAAGGGCTGGCATTGTGGCATATAAGATAGAAATGCTGCCTGTGATGCTGGCATCCCAAATGTGCACGGGTTTGAGTCCCAGTGGCTCCACTTCTGATCCAGCTCCCGTCTCTCTCTTTTTTTAAAAAGATTTATTTTTATTTGAAAGTCAGAGTTACACAGAGAGAGGAGAGGCAGAGAAAGAGGTCTTCCTTACTATGATTCACTCCCTAATTGGCCTCAGCGGCCGGATCTGAGCCGATCCGAAGCCAGGAGCCAGGAGCCAGGAGCTTCTTCTGGGTCTCCTACAGGAGTGCAGGGACCCAAGGACTTGGGCCATCTTCTACTGCTTTCCCAGGCCATAGAAGAGAGCTGGATTGAAGAGAAGCAGCTGGGACTAAAACCAGCACCCACATGGGGTGCCGGCGCTTCAGGCCAGGGTGTTAATCCACTGTGCTACAGTGCCGGCCTCTGATCCAGCTCCCTTCTAATGCACTTGGGAAAGCAGTGGAACATAGCCCAAGTCCTGGGGCCAGTGCACCTACATGGCAGACCCGGAAGAAGCTCCTGGGTTTGGCCTGGCCTAGACTCAGCCATTGCAGTCATCTGGGGAGTGAACCAGCAGATGGAAGATTTCGGTCTCTCCTTCTCTTTCTGCAACTCTGCCTTTCAAACACATAAAACAGATCTAAAAAAAAAAAAAAAAAAAAAAGTGAGCAAAAGTTAACATTTAAATAGTCGCTGGTTCAAAACTTAATTCCTCCTTTATTTACCTACATTCATGCGGAAGATATGGCAAGCAGAATATCAGAGATCAAGAAAAGAGCAAAATGACCAGGTAATATAAAAGAGCCAACGAGGAAATTCAGAAAAAAACAAAAAGGGGGTGTGAGGTAGAGAACACCCTGGGGAATTAGGCTAAAAAGGAGAAAGTGGCCAGCGCCATGGCTCAACAGGCTAATCCTCCACCTGCGGCGCCGGCACACCGGGTTCTAGTCCCGGTTGCTCCTCTTCCAGTCCAGCTCTCTGCTGTGGCCTGGGAGTGCAGTGGAGGATGGCCCAAGTGCTTGGGCCCTGCACCCGCATGGGAGACCAGGAGAAGCACCTGGCTCCTGGCTTTGGATCAGCGTGGTGCGCCGGCCACAGCGCGTGGGCCGCAGCGGCCATTGGAGGGTGAACCAATGGAAAAAGACCTTTCTCTCTGTCTCTCTCTCTCACTGTCCACTCTGCCTGTCAAAAATAAAAATAAAAAATAAAAAAAGGAGAAAGTATTTTTGTTTGCTTTCTTTTTTTTTCTTTTAGAAGCCCGAGTTATAGAGAGAGTGGGGGAAGAGACAGAGAGGTATCTCTTTGATCTACTGGTTCACTCCCCAAATGGCTGCAAAAGCCAGGCCAAAGTCAGGAGCTTCATCCAGGTCTCCCACATGGGTACAGAGGCCCAAGCACTTGGGCTATTCTCCCTTACTTTCCCAGGCACATTAGCAGGGAACTAAATTGGAAGTGGAGCAACTCAGACTCAAACCCAGTGTTCATATGTGAGGCTGGCACTGCAGATGGTTTTAACTTGCTGAGCTGTAGTGCCAGCCCCTATTTTGTTTTCCTAAAGATTACAATAAAACATGTAAGATGAATAAGAAAAATCTCTGCTGTTTTCTGTTGTATTTGGAGTTTTGTGACCTTCGAGGGGAAGGGAGTTGAGACAGGAAGGAGTGTAACAACAAATGCCTGCAACATGACAAACACAGTATAAATGCATACCTCTTAAGTTAGCCAACATGAATTTTCAAAATTATATTAACTACAATCCCATCTAAGCCTGGAGACTGGTAATACAACTAAAGATGAAAGGTGAAAAATAAATAAACTTATTAAGAACCTACTACTTTAAACTATCATTATCATGACAGTAACCAACCTAAAATGATAATATAATGGCAGGAGAAAAGAGCAGGGAAATAAAATTTGATAAAAACCTTCATTTTTACTTACAATATAGCTGTAATATATACCATTGGCAAGTCTTTTCACCTCTCTAGACCCAGTTTCTTTAATATAGGAGGCTTGAACAAGATGATTATCAAGGTGCCTCAAAGATTTTTTGTAACTGAATTCATTTTTCACCCTCATTGCCAAGAAAGAGACTATATTTCTAATTTCAGAGTCTAAACCATGAGATGAACTCGTAAGTGATTAGAATGAGAAATTGCAATATGTTGAAATGCATAGCTCTAGAATAAATCACAAACATACTCTCTATTCATAAGGAGTGGTTTTCATTTTGCACTGTGGCATTATATAGAGAACATAAGAAAAGTCCTTTAAACTTCAATTAAGGTCAGAGTTTCCATATTTATTTTAAATCAAGATAATTTCTCACAAATATTCTTAGGTTTAAAAAAAAAGAGCAAGATGAACATCAAATGTATGTGAGTAATAATGATGTGAAAAAAGCCTTACATTTTCTGGCTCTTATTCCCCTATGACACATTTATCAATCTCCTCAAAGACTTCACACTGGGACACAGTACTTACCACAACAGCAAACTGCTCAGGTTCACATAAGTTGTTATAGTCACTCTTGAACTGAGACAATGAATTTAATTGCTCTTGATCAGGAAGATGCTTTATTAAGTTCTAAAAATTAAGACCAAAGACAGCATCATGACTAAATGTATTTCTCAAATTCTAGGAAAAGTAATAAGCTATAGAATGAAAACCATTACAGAAGCTAACCTGTCGTTTCATTCCTAGGGACCTCCTTTTTACTAAGCCACAAGCAACACTCCCTGCATCTTGACAACAGTCAATTTTCCTTTTCTATATCCCAGGGTTGTTATAAATTCAAATCAAGCTCTCCTGAATGTTTATTTGATTAACTTATAATTGAGAAAGAAGAGTTCAACCTATACCAAAGGAACAGCTTTCTCACCTGGATAAATGTGATCCATTACACTGCAGCTTTAGGGAATTAAATGTCAGAAATTTCAGCAAAGCCAAACATATTTTAACACTTCACTCAGGGGGAGAAGAGAAATCATCAGATTGCTACTAAAAGGTAAGGCAAAGAATAGAAAAAGAAATCAAGGGAATTTTAATAGCAGTGCTTGTGAGATTTAAGCAGTAGGATTATGGTTTTAATAAAAAAAAACTGAAGGCATCTCTTAAATAAAGTCAAAGTAACTTTTCTGATGTGAAGAAAATTTTAAAAGGCAGTAAAAAAATAGGATAATATACCTTGCACATAAAAAGCTTATAAAGAGTTCTTTTAGGAACTTAAGTGCTCATGGTGGTAAGGCTCTTTGCCTGTCTCATCTACAGTACACACACCACAGGTTCACTTGGCTCTTCTGACTCCTGTATCCATGCTCAGCCTTCCCAAGCCACACACTTACAAAAGAGAATTACTTGAAGACTAAGGAAATACACATAATTATGCTTTCCTCAGGGAACTTTAATGATCAAACAATTGCCTGAACAAGTAGTGTTATAACAATTTACATTATATTACAATAAAGGGGGGGAGGTGAGAAGAGTGGTTAGTGCTCACCATTCCAAATTATAATTTCAGTAAATTCTGCACAAGCCCCAAATCATGTATAAATTATAATTAAGCCACCATTATGTTATCTGAATTATGGGTAGGAAATACCCCAAAGGTGGTATTAGTTGAAAACAGTGTTAGAAAATGTGATATGTTAGAAGTATTTAGATGGAAGAACAAGTTACTGACTCACTGTGTACCTTTGGACAAAGGCTTGGTTGACTGGCCAAAAACAAAAAGGGTGGCAATTTAAGATCAGCACTACCAAACTGAGCAAAAATAATAAAGGAATATTATTTTTTCCCAATCACTGGACATTTCTCTTAGGGAAACTGCTGAGATCACAAAGCCTGTTTATATTTTCTTTTGACCAGTCTACTTGACAGCAGAATCAAGTTACCTGTTACATCTGCCACTTCATTTCTATAGCACCCTTTCCAGATGATCATCACATCCCCTTGAATATTTTAGTTAAAATTTAATTAGAGTTTAACATTAGTCATAAAAAATTTACTAATTTTTCACTTCAGAATTTTTTGTATTCTAATGTGAACAACGTAGTCTGATTTGTAAGAGTACAGGCCCCACCTTCCTTTGATCTCTCCTTGCCAAATCTCCCACACTCTCTACAAATTAAGGTCCTGTCAAATTAAATTCCACACAGTAGTCCACACACACACACACACACACCCGCACTTTCCTTCATAGCTCGATAGACTATTTCCATCAGAGTAACTTCCCTTAACAACACTTGTAAAAAATCTCCCTGCCCTTTACTAAAGCCCCATTTTAGTGAACGTTCAGGGTCCCCTGCCTCTACAGTGACAGCACAGTCCCTCACCATCCTGCTTCTAAATCGCCCTTCATAAAGCTACATTCATCTGGTTTTATAATGATATTTATAAATGTCACCTCCCTTGCCAAACGATCAACTCCAAGAAGGCAAAGTCTCTCTCTGATTAAACCTAATATGATGCCCCCTGCATGTGAGGAATACAATAAAATATTTACAAAGTGGATTAATAAAAGACTGATGGGACAAAGGTGGATCGGTTAAAAGACTGATGTGGAAAAAATGGCTTAAGAAATTACATACTACGGACCTCTTGCTGCATGTGGATAAGGAAAGCCATGAGAGTCAGCCAAAATGATTATTACAACGTAATGCTCTGTCTACATGTCCTCATCAAAAGAGTCAACTCTTCATAATAAAAATACATTTTTAAAGATTATACACAACTTCTTATTTCTCCATGATTACATGCAAGCCTTTATGTTTGTCCAAAATAAATTTTTAAGTGTTGAATTCAGAAGCCTTGTTTCATATTAAGTGAATATGGTAGGCAGAAATAATGACATTGTCTCCAAAGATATCTAAGTCTAACCCCCAGAAACTATGAAAATATTAGGTTACAGGGAAAAGGGAATTCAGAGTACTGATGTGATTAAGACTACTAACAATTGACTATAAATTAAATATCTTGCTTTATCTTGGCTTGTCCAATGTAATCTCAAACTTCCTTAAGAGTGGAAAAAGGAGACAGAACCATAGAATGTGAGGGGATGTGATTATAACAGAAAGGCACAGAGAAATATAAATTGCTGCCTTGGAAGATCAAGAAAGGAGTTCAGAAGTTAAGGGATGTGGGCAGCAGTGAGGAGCTGGAAAGAAAATGAAATGGATTATTCCCTAGAGTCTACCGAAAGGAACACAGTCCTGCCAACACCTTGACTTTAGCACAGTAGTACCCATGCCAGACATCTGTTCTATTAGAAATACTAGATAACAAATTTGTGTTACTAACACACTGTGTGAACTGTGTTAGCAACAACCGAAAACTAATACATTATGAAATTATATGGGGCTGAATATACTTGGGATGTGAATTTTAAAATGCATCTCATCTTTTTTCTAGACAAAAAAAGCAACATGATTTTCTAAAATATTCAAGTAATCAAGTTATAGGCAACTCTGTAAATGTTTATAAATTCATTATAAGAAACAAACATGTATTAAGATGAAAAATATTCCCAGCAAGAAGCCACATACACAATCAACAATAGAAACAAAAATCCAGTTAAAAAAAAAAAAGAAAAAACTGCTAGTATTAAGCCTTTTTATTGTAATGAAAATTTAAAATGTTACATCAAAAACTAAAAAAAAAAAAAAAAAAAAAAGGAGGGTGGGAGGGAGTAAAGGGGAAGGAAGGAAATGTTATGTTCTTAGATGTTCTTAGAATTGTATCTACGTCACCCTGAATCTGTTAAAAATAATTAAAATTTAAACTTTTTTAAAAAAGAAGAGTTGTTGAATTAGGTATTCATGACTCTCAGAGACTCACAACACAAATCACCAAAGAGATCATATTACATGAGGATGTTTCAAAGAGAAGGAGAGGCAAAACTTGGAATTTCTTGATAGCACTTATTGATGAGTTAAAATAACTAATAATTTTTATTACTCATTGACATTGATAACCATGATATTTACTGCCTAAATATCATTTTTCCACATATCTCCATTATTAGAAAAAATATGTTAAACTGTAGATGTTCAACAAGTATGCTCTTATTTTCCAAGTCTCCATTCTATCAAAATACATATTATTGATCCCTTATGTGGAAATCAGCAGGTAACTGGTACAACATCAAGATTCATTAAAAAAACATTGTGCATAAAAACATTTTAAAAAGACTTCTGAATTAATCCAGAATACGAAGAAAACAACCTTCAGTATTCATAGGAGCGCAAATGATTCAAGTAAGATTGTTAATAGAAGTAAATATAAACAAAAAGAAATCACCTATACTAAATAATAACACAACTTTAGAAGCTAAGGAAACACTTGGCTACAGAAATCAATTTAAATTCAAATATATTATCAGTCATAAATGCAACAAAAAACCAAAAATATACGTAAAGCAATACAACTTCCAAAAACTAACTTAAAATAATAACATAATAGTATTATACTCAGTTTTGCTGTTAGAAAAGATGCAGAGTTTTATCTCCTGGCTACACAGAAGTTACGTTAAAACTAATTATGCAGCAATGATTTTCCAGTTGAATGAACTGGGTTAAGAATTTTGCTTCACTTACAGATTTCCATTTAATGAGAAGTTTGCAATGAAATATTAGAATTTAAGTTCTGCCTGTTTATTTACCTGAATCATGGACTCTGCCAACTGTGTTTCATCCACTTCCAATATCATCATTTTGATTTCTTCATAAGGCACCCGAAAGGAACTGAGGAAAATTGCTAAAGGAGTTGGTGGGGAGGAGAGGAATAAGGTAATATAATTTAAAATGTAGTTCTATTGATAAAATCAGAAGCATATTTATAAATGAGAGCATTTAAGCAATTACTATAAATGCTGTAGGCGAAAAACTTCATTTACACATTTTATATTTTTTCCAGTTTTATAACTAATATTTAAACAATAATTCCACATTATGCCATTCCAAGTTCAATAGTTTTTAAAGGTTTTGCTCATTTATTCTCAGTTTATTTGAAAGAGACAAAAATCTTCCATCCACTGGTTCACTTTCCAAATGCCTGCAACAGCCAGGACAGGATGAAGTTGAACCTGGGAATTTGGAACTCTATTTGGATTTCCCACGAGGGTGGTAGACACCCAAGCACTTCAGCCATTGCCTCCAAGAGTGCACATCATTAGGAAGCTGGATTGGAAGCAGAGGCAGGACATACCCCAAGCACTCCAATATGGGACACAGGTCCCAAACAGCAACTTACAACTACCCAAATCTACCCCTAAAACTGATGTTTAAAGGCTTAGTTACTTGTCTTTCAAAGGAATACAGCTAATTTTAACTAAAAAAACACTGAAATATGTTAATTATACTATAGAAATGTTACAAGAACTATACAATCCTAGTATACACGTATAATATCTGAGTAAACGCTAGGAGAGGTACCTCAAAAAGTTTTTGAAAAAATGAAGTTAAAAGAAAACTTTCTTAAGGTGCAAAAAGTTTTTGAAATTCACACATAGTTTATTCATATATGCATTTTCCGAGAACTTCTGGAAGACCCCCACTGCATGATTTCAAAATTGTTATATCAATATAAGCTTATTTAATTCTGTTCCTCATGACATTTTTCATGTTCCCTAGTATGCGTAATTACTTTGTATATCTTTCAGCTCTACAAAGTGGTTCAGAAAAAGTATTTTAAGAAAACTGCAAAGCAGTACATTAACACTTTCACAAGTAATAGCAGCACTTCACCATTCAGAATTGTTGCAGACAATATGCTAGAGGATTAGTCTTTGCATGTAACTAAAATATTCAAATTTTCATGGTAAATTATCCTAAAAGGTTAAATGGGTTAATATCTTATTACTGGTGATTCTAAAGATTAATTAAAGGGGCCAGTGCTGTGGCATAATGGGCTAAGCCCCTCCTTAAGCACTAGTATCCTATTTGGGTGCTGGTTCGTGTCCCAACTGCTCCTCTTTGTATTGAACTCTCTGCTATGACCTGGGAAAGCAGTAGAAGATGGCCCAAGGGCTTGGATCCCTGCATTCTCATGGGAGAACTGGAAGAAGCTCCCAGCTTCTGGCTTTGGATGAGTCCAGCACCAGCCCTTGTGGCCATCTGGGGAGTGAACCAGAGGATGGAAGACCTTTCTTTCTGTCTCTCCCTCTCTAGGTCTGCAACTCTACCTCTCAAAGAAATAAAATCTTAAAAAAAATTAATTACATTCTTCCTGATACCTCATATATGTAGTGTTATAACAATGATCTCTTTTTTTATTTTTTTTATTTTTGACAGGCAGAGTGGACAGTGAGAGAGAGATAGACAGAGAGAAAGATCTTCCTTTTGCCATTGGTTCACCCTCCAATGGCTGCTGCGGCCAGCGCATCGCGCTGATCCAAAGTCAGGAGCCAGGTGCTTCTCCTGGTCTCCCATGCGGGTGCAGGGCCCAAGCACTTGGGCCATCCTCCACTGCACTCCCAGGCCACAGCAGAGAGCTGGCCTGCAAGAGGGACAACCAGGACAGAATCCGGCGCCCCGACCGGGACTAGAACCCTGTGTGCCGGCGCCGCGGGCGGAGGATTAGCCTATTGAGCCACGGCGCCGGCCCCTGAATTACTATTAAACGATGCTTTTTACCCTCTGTGAGAAAGAAGCTAGGAGTGCCATATTTTATTTCTTATGAGGCGGAGGATTAGCCTATTGAGCCACAGCGCCGGCCCATAACAATGATCTTAAAAGCTACTTTGGGGGCTGGCGCTGTGGCACAGCAGGTTAAGCCATTGCCTATAGCACCAGCATCCCAAAGCATCCCAAATGGATGTTAGTTCAAGTCCTGGCTGTTTCACTTCCAATTTGGTTCCCTGCTAATGCCCCTGGGAAAGCAGGGGAAGCTGGTCCAACTGCTTGAATCTCTGAACCCACATTGGAACCCAGATGAAGCTGCTGGTTCCTGAAGCCATTTGAGGTGTGAATCAACAAATGGAAGATCTCTCTCCCTTTCTCTAACTCTACCTTTCAAATAAATAAATAAGTAAATCCTTAAAAAAAAAAAAAAAAAAGCTACTGTGGTATACAAAGATATTCCACAGCAAGAGATAACAGGACACGTCAAAAAGTTCATGGAAAAATAGAATTAATTTTATTTTTGTGCAAAGAATACTGAAATCAACACATAGGTTTTCATAATATAGTTCTATGAACTATTTGAAGAGCCCCCACTTAACACATTTCCTAGGTACCCCCTTACTCCATTATGTTTCTAGGGACACAGAGACAGTACTTTTTTTTTTGAAGACTGATTTATATATTTGAACGGCAGAGTGACAGGGAGGGATACAGAAGACAAAGCTCTTCCATCCACTAGTTCACACCCCAAATACCCATTAGTAGCAATGACCTAAGGTGGGTCAGGTCAAAGCTAACTCAATCTAAGTTTCATAGTTGGATGGCAAAAACTCATGTATTTAGGCTGTCATCAGCTATCTCCCAAGCTCATCAGCCAGAAGCTGGATCAGAAGTAGACAGCTGAGACTCAAACCAGCACTCCAATAAGAGACACAGATGTCCCAACCAGCAGCTTTTCACACTGTACCATAACACTCACCCCAAACGTCACTTTTTAAATATACTCCTCAGTTGATATCAATACCCATTAAGTTTAAATTTAGTATATTTTATCATTTGGTATGCATGTATCTCCAACTAAAGACACTGCTTAACAAAACTCAGAAAACACTGTCCGCTTTGCTCTGAAACTAAGGTTTGATTCCTGATGTCACATGACATCTAGAGATGAACAAGGGTACCACTTGTGTTCATATCACCATTTCATTCATGCATTTCTGCACCCAAGGAGTCATAAATTTGAGATAATTGTGCTAGAAATTATGGATGTCTATTATCCTCATTATCTCAAGAACAAGATGAAATAAATAATCTGAATGACATAAAACAGGCAGAATTAAAAAACCAAAGCTCCACAGTAATCTGGGAAGCACATAAATATAGCTATATAATCTCAAAAGGATAATCAATTATTGAAGGGGTGAGAATCAAATCTACATCTTCACATGTATACAACAAGATGCAGGTCATGAATTAAATATAAATATTTAGGAAAATAAACAGGAAGAAATGAAGAAATTTAACATAACAAATTAACTTATCTATGGTAAGATGAGCATTTCTTAAACACAAATATCAATGGAAAGAATGAAAATATCTGACAACATAAAACATGTTAATGTTAGAGGTACAAAATAGAAAGTTGGAGTGGGGGGATTTGCCTTAAAATTTAGACTTGTTTTTCAAATGTAAATAAGATACCATGAGCTCCAAACAGCGAAGTGGGCAAAATACACAAAATTAATTCAACAAATAAAAAAATAGCAAATAAATGTAATATGTTAAATTCTAGAAGCAAGCCAATTGAGAAGTGTATTGCTAAGACATATCCAGATCGTAAACTTAACAAAATTAAAGTATGATGTCTTGAAATTACGGAGCAGCTTTAAGAAACAAATTCTATTTAAGAAACACAGTCTATAGATACGAAAAAGAACAGAAGGGGTTAAAAATTAAAAGTATAGAATTACACGTAGGATAAAATAGATATTGGGGGGGGACAAAATTATAGTACTATAACAGTTTCAGGCTGTGTGGCAAAGTGGAAAGACACAGAAATATTTTTAAAACATGACTTTTTAATCTTCATTTAAAAAACATTTCTTGAAAGGAAGAAGAGGCAATGATTCTGTTAAAATCATAATTTATAGAAATGAAAGAAAAGCTTGCAAGGTTGGGTAGCAGAAACAAGATCTTATTAATAAGTAGATTTGAGGAAGACTAAAACTTATAGAAACAGAAATTTAAAAATTAAATGCTGAAATTGAAAACTTGACAGACGGAATAGACATCAGATAAAGAGAAAGACAGAAAGTCATCCAAAAATGCATCAGCAAGAGACACAGAAAACTACTACCTTAACACTCATAGAGTGTGAGTAAGGATGCCTTAAAAAGTGCAATAAATGATCAAAAAGAAATCACAACAGGAAAGCTGCATATTTTAAGAGTAAATGTTAAGAACTACACAAAATTACAAGTCTCTGTAAAATACTAATCATTGGTAAGACTTTTCATTAGGAACATTCAAGCATTGCTGGTGGAAAAGTAAACTGGAAGAAATATACTCATAACGTAGGGCTTTCCACACAACTACCCAGTCTCCGTTATAATTATCAACTCAGCTTTTGCAGCACCAAAGCAGCCATACAGTATGTAAGCCAATGCCACAGCAAATGAAAACAGACAGCTGACCAGATTCAGCCTGAGGGCCATAATCTGCCCAACCATGCATCAGTATCAACAACAATCAGAAGCAACCCAGGGCCAGCGCTGTGGCAAAGTGGTCTAAGTCTCTGCCTATGACATCAGCATCCCATATAGACCCTGGTCAGTGTCCCAGCTGCTCCTCTTCTGACCCAGCTCTCTGCTATGGCCTACAAAAACAGTACAAGATGGCCCAAGTGCTTGGGCCCCTTCACCAAAGTGGGAGACCCAGAAGAAACTCCTGGCTCCAGATGGGACCAGCTCCCACCGTTGCAGCCAACTGGGAATGAACCAAAAGATAAAGACTTTTCTCTCTGCTTCTCCCTCAGTAACTCTACCTCTCAAATAAAGAAAATCTTAAAAAAACAAAAATCAGAAGCAACCCAAATACGAACCGAACACTGGGTGTATAAAGTGTGATATTCAAAGC